AGTTCAAGTTCACCGCGACAGCGCGTACCCACATATCATGATGTTGGGAGTGAGGGCAAGGAGACAGGGGTGGAGGTGGAGGTTCAGCTCACCTCCACACTGTGTGGCCCACATGCCCTGACTGCCGGGAGTGAGGGGAGTGGGCAGGGGTGGGGGTGGAGGTTCAGGTCACCACCACACCGCATGGCCACATGCCCTGACTGCCGGGAGTGAGGGGAGTGGGCAGGGGTGGGGGTGGAGGTCAGGTCACCAGAGCCTCCCCAGGAAACGGCTCCTTCCAATATTTTCTGCCTCCTGAGGTCTTGCCTGGCGGATTTGCAAACCTCGCGGCACAAGCTCTGCGTAAGAAGCTGAAACATGGTTTCTGGGTCCTCCCCAGGTTTCCAGGGGCCCTGGGAGTCCTCATTTCTGACAAGCTCCCTGCTCCGGGGCCCCCCTTTGAGAACCGTGTGATTAAAGCCGTCATCAAACTCTGGTCCACAGACACGCAGCCCCTCCTCTGCCCCTAGAGAAAGGCGTGGCCCAGGGCTACCCTGCCCAGGAGGGAGCTTGCTGTGGGTGAGGAGAACAGAACAGAAAGACGGAAGCTTAGGCACAAGGCAGGGCATGAATTCCGATGACCATGACCCAACTCTGGGCTGGCCCCAGGGGGGCATCAGTCCCAGCCATGTCTCCTCCCACGGTCATCTGAATTCCGACCGTGCTCCCGGCAGGAAGTCCCAGGCACGCAGATGACAGGGAGCCGTGTGCACCAGGCCTGCTCAGCAATCCACACAGCGGCACTCCGCCTGCAAGGCCAGCTCCCCAGCCCCCGGGCCGCAGAGCCCCGCGCCCCCGCCACCCTGCCACCCGTCAGGAGGAAGAGGCGGCCCGAGCAGACCAGGGGGGCACGGCTGCCCAGAGGCACGCGGAGGGCAGCAGCAAGCACACGGGAGGGAGCTCCGGAATACCTGCATGCGGTCCAGGGCGCTCTGGGCGGAAGCCAAGCAAGACAGGAGCACAGAGACGCTGTCAAAGAAAGTCCGTCCTCGGCACTCCCCCGCCGCCCCACCACTGTGCCATCCAACGCACCCGCGGCTCGGCTCCTGCCACATTCCAAAGCACGCACCACGGCCAGACCGTCGCAGACGGTCCCGTGCACACACGTGATCAACACACGTGACAGACGGGCTCCGGGTAATGGGATAAAGGTGCCCTCTTTCCTGCCTCCTTCAGGCGCAACAGGAAACCCGGGCAGGGGCAGAATCTGAGCAGGGGCCCAGTCTCCTCTCTCCCGGGCTATGTGTCCTGCTCGCCTCCCGTTGCACACTCCCCTCTGGACGGGCAGAAGCAACGCCGCCATGGGAAAATCATGTAGACACGCTTCAGGGTGAGGAGGAAGACGTGACAGACACCTTAAGAGACGCATTCTGCGTGCTCTAAGCGGGCCTCACTCCCCCTGGGGACGAAGGACAAGGCCATCCTGAAGAGGGCCCCTTGTCTCACACCTGGAGGCCCCAGGCCGTGCACTCTCACTCAGCCGCCCCTAGGAGCCACCGAGGCCCCCGGCAGGTGGCAGGCCCAGCCACCCACTGTCGCCCACTCACTGTGCATGAAGGAGGCAGGTGGCAGAGGCCTCTGGGGCGGACCCAAGGTCTCCACCCCTCTCTGCCTGTCCACCCTGTCCCAAGGAGGCTGGCATGGGACCAAGAGCCAGGGACAAGAAGTGGTTACTCCCAACCCACCACCCAACCTGGCGGGATGTGGCAGCTGGCGGGACGTGGCAGCCCTTCCGTCTGGTCCCCACGACTGGGGTCGGCGGGTGGCTGAGGAGGTGCTTACACCACCCTGGCAGAGGCCCGGGGCGTTGGCGTCTTTGGTTCCCCTGGGCCCTCCTGTCTCTGGTTCTGCCTCCTGGGATCCATGCTGCCTCAGCAAGGTGCCCCATGGGACTGTGGGAGGGTGGGGCACCCCAGGAGTGGTGCAGCCGCCCTCTCTGGGGGCCCATCCTCCCTGGTATCCACGCCCAGGGCCTGTGGAGGAGAGACACGTGGCCCCGGCTGCTGGGCGGCACAGAGGATGCCGCTTCACATGCTTGCAAGGACAGCGCTGAGCACCGGCACGCACACAGCAGGTGCCACGCGGGAGCAGGCGCCGGGTCAGGCGGTCACACCCAGGCCACTCACCTCTAGCAGCCGCACGGCGCCTTCGTGTTCCTTCTTGGCTTCAACCTGAGCCTTTTGTGTAAGAAAGAGAGAGAACAGAGCACACGCTTAGAGGAGAATCTGGTTAAGTCGGAATCACCAAGGTGGGTCCTTATTTCTGCTCCCCTTAGAAGCCCTGAAACCCCAGAGGTCTAAGTCATGTCTCATGTTCTCGGCCCCTTTGGGCTGGGGGACTGGCTCGGGGCTGGGTCTGGTGCTGGCCGCAGAAGCCGGAGGGGGCTGTGGAGGTGGGGGCGGCCCTGACCCCGCCTCTGGGGAGGGGCCTGTGGGCAAGGGCTGAACCAGAACAGCCTCTGGGGCTCCTCCTCCTCCAGGACCTTCACCACCTGGAAGCAAAACCTCGACCCCCCGTGACCTGAGGGTCTCCCCAGGCCCTGATGGGGCAGGGAAGGAGGCCCTGAGCAGACCCCAGTGACCTGAGGGTCTCCCCAGTCTCCCCAGGCCCTGACGGGGCAGGGAAGGAGGCCCTGAGCAGACCCCCGTGACCTGAGGGTCTCCCCGGTCTCCCCAGGCCCTGACGGGGCAGGGAAGGAGGCCCTGAGCAGACCCCAGTGACCTGAGGGTCTCCCCAGTCTCCCAGGCCCTGACGGGGCAGGGAAGGAGGTGTTGAGCAGACCCCCGTGACCTGAGGGTCTCCCCGGTCTCCCCAGGCCCTGACGGGGCAAGAAGGAGACCCTGAGCAGACCCCAGTGACCTGAGGGTCTCCCCAGTCTCCCCAGGCCCTGACGGGGCAGGGAAGGAGGTGTTGAGCAGACCCCCGTGACCTGAGGGTCTCCCCAGTCTCCCCAGGCCCTGACGGGGCAGGGAAGGAGGCCCTGAGCAGACCCCAGTGACCTGAGGGTCTCCCCAGTCTCCCCAGGCCCTGACGGGGCAGGAAAGGAGGCCCTGAGCAGACCCCAGGTTCCCAGCACCTCCGGCCTGGAGGGGAGGGATAATGGATTCCAGGTTCTGTCCCCTGGGCCCAAGGGAAAATTCACACAAAGCTGAAGCAGCCTGACCGTCCTGACCATGAGTGATGGTGGGAGAACCTGCACATCTGCCTGCCTGGCCTCAAAGCCCCCCCCCCCAAGGAGCAGCCCCTGGATGTGCCAGGAGTCCACCCCCCCCCATGCAGAGCAGGTGTGTACAGCTCCAGGTGCCCAGGGGTGGCTGGCAGCAGCAGGTTTGAGCCTCTGCGTAGGGAATGCTAGGCCAGGAGGGCCCTCCTAGGACTCCAGCCCGAGAGCAGTGAAGGTCGGAGCTGCTGCAGCTATCTTGCCACCACAAGGCAAGGCCTCCTCCTGGAAACCGAGGGTCCTCAGGCACGCAGCCGTCGGGGGTTAAGGACCGAGTGGGGGAAGCTGAGGTCGAGCAGGAGCTTGTGTGGTGTCCCGGGACGGAGCAGAGGGGCGCCTCAGGCCCCTGCATGCTCTTCCCGCGTGGGCCCCGGCCCCCAGCCTCGAGAGACTCGGGAACGCACCCCAGGACACGGGGGAGCACCCGTTCCTGAAGAGGACCGTTTCCTGACGCTCGTCGGTGGGAGGACCCTGCGTGCTGAGCAGAGAGGGACACCTTTCACCCTCTCCAGGGCTCGGCTCCAGCGTCCTCGGAGTGGACATCAGCTCAGCAGCGTCGGCTTCCCTTGCAAGACCCCGGGGGCTGGGAAGAGCTTGGCTTCACGGCCAAGACTAAACACGAGAGGCAGCCTGAGACCAGAGCTCGTCCGCACGCGTTGCACTCTCCTGGCTCCAGAGAGGCTCCCGAGAGCCCGGCCCGCGAACAGAACACGCACGTCAATTACACTGTTCTTGAATTCAGCAGAATTGCCCAATGCTTAAAGTGGCTCCTTTCAAACAAAGACAGCAAAAGGGACGATAAATAGCCAAACAGAAGACAAGACAAACAGCCGGAGAACATACGGGGATTATATAAATAATGCCACCATTGAGTCCACGGAATCAAAGAGAGCTTTCAAGTGGCAGGATGAAAAGACAGCACAAAACCCTCACAGGCTGTGAGCAGCGGCCAGGCTGGCAGCAGCAACGTGGCTTCCGGCTTCAGATGAAAATTGGGAGCTGGCGTTTGTAGCCTCCTTGTAAGCTGGGCCATTTGGGCGATGAGAATAGATGGTTAAAATTAGCAGCGAAGACTGGCAGTGCTGAGTTCTTGCAAACTCTCAGCGACGGCCTGAGCAAGTCTCATCTCAGGCCAGTGCCAACGTACGGGCGGCGTGACTTCACAGAGATGCCAGAGGAAGGGGTCCCGTGCCCCCAGGGGCCAGACATCAGGAGCTCAGGGGGGCATTGCTGCCCCGGCCACCTGGGCACCACAGCGACTGGGCGGAATTGGGGGTGTCGGTGGGGCTGCAGCAGAGCAAGGGCCATTTGCTGGTGTACCTCACGGCAGCCCCGTGGAAGAGGCGGATGGGCCGGTGGTGAGCTCTGCCAGGACCCTCAGACCACAGCCCCTGCTGTGGCACTCAGCTGAGCTGCCAGAGCCCTCCTGGGAGGCCACGGGAGAAGGGTGCCACCCGGGGAGGATTCAGGGTCGAGGGCGGGGTGCCAGCCTGGGAGACTGCCTAGGGGGCGGTGTTGCCCCGATGAACAGGGTGGGTCAGTCTGGGCTCCACCCCTGCCGCCCACAGGATGGAGCAAAGCCAGAGCCTCCGAGGGAAGCGCGGGATATGGTAGAGACCTCGGCTGCACTTGCACAGTGAGGCCAGTGTGTCCCAGCACCGTCCACCTCAGGGGCGGTGTGGACAGAAGTGATCATTTCACAGCAGGGGGGGATTAAGGGGGCAGTGAAATTATCAGGTCCGCAGATGAATGTCAGCCCAGGAAAAGCCCTTTGTTCATCCTCCTGGGTCACCACCCGGACAATGACGGCCACAGGTGGGAAACCGACCCCTGAAGCGCCAGGGAGAAGTGGGCTCTGGAGCCCCTGCTGCCCTGGGAGCAAGCCGGGGAGGTGGGGCCCGCGCCACTGAAGCCCAGGTCCCTCAACGCCACGTCCGTCCGTTCACTCGCTCGACGCGCATCTGCTGAGCGCCGCTCGGAGCCGGGCGTCAGCTGGCTTGTTAATGGCACATAAGGCGCATCAGTCCATGGACCCTTCCGTCACTCACCCAGCATCTGTTGACGCCTGCGTGTGTCGGGCAATGACAGTGCGGGGGCCCCTTCTTGGAGCGTGCGTTCCAACAGGTGGACAGACAGCAGGCAAATGACAAATCCCGAGCAGTCAGTGGGTCGAGCAGCTGCCCGCTGCGGTGCTGCCTGCGGGGTGCCGTGTCCTCACCTGGCAGGGCTGAAGGCACCCAAGCCAAAAATAAACCAGTGCTGCAATGAGCCGGGACCAGGAATTCCGGGTGAAGACCCTGAAAACGGCAGCACCCGAACTCAGCGAGGGCTGGGTGGGCGTGGCGGCAAGGCCCAGAGCCCCCCTCACTTGGGGTCCACGGTCACGCGTGCAGTGTGCATTGCCGGCCCTCTCGCTGCCCCACTGACAGCTGTGGCCCCGGTGCAGGTGCTCAGCACAGACCTGCTGATCGAGCACAGGCAGGAGCTGGGAAGGACCCTCGGGCAGCGCTGGGGAGGCCGACAGCTGGCACAGGGCCTGGCGTGGCTGCCTCTCCTCCCACACCTGCGCCCCACCATGTCCCTCAGCAAAGGATGCTCTTGTGTCACCTGGACTCGCGCTAGGACAGCCCGGCTGTGTGGTCGCTCACCCGTCCTGTGATTCAGTGAGCACCCTCCCTGCACACCATTCCTCCCGCGTCTCCCAGGCCCATGCCAGGCAGGGCCGAGGTGGGCGCTGGGACAGGGAGGGGCGCTGGGCAAAGCTGATGGGGACCCTGATGCTGGATGCCCAAGAGCCCCGCCCTTTCCTGGGAGACAGGGCCTGCGGGTGCTGCGGGTCCCATGGAGTCTTCAGGTGCTGGGAAGTGTGGGGAGCGCCCCGCTCCCGGCTCACCACATGCACACGGTCCTTCCGGAAGGGGAGTGGCCGAGGGCCAGGCACAGGCCCGGGGTCAGATGTTGGTGAAGGGCGCTTCCTGGGCCCCAGCTCTGCATCCAGCCCTGGGAGATCAGACCCAGGCTCAGGGAGGCGTCTGGGCACGAGACCTGCCTGCTAGGAGTTCACAGCTCCCGCAGGGGATCCGGGAGCAAAGGGGCCACCAGCAGGCGTTCTGTGCACATTCTGTCTGCAGAGCAGGGGAGGGGGTGGGCACGGCAGGTGTTGGTGAGGACAGGCAGGGGGTGCTCTGGGATGCGGCATCAGAGCTCCTCCCAGTGGTGACACCAGGCTGAGCCTGAGTGGAAGAGTTGGGGTTCTTGGTGGGGAGCCAGAGATGGAAGCTAAGCCTGGGGCTCTGTGAGACCAGCGTCAGGACCCATCAGGCCCCCGAGTGGTGACGTGGCCAAGGACAGAGGCTTGGGGTGACCTCTGAGCTCCAGAGCGGTCTGGGTGGGAGGAGACACCGGCCAGGGGTGGTGCCTGGAACCCAGTGAGGACGGAGGCCTGACCAGGGCAGGAGTGCACAAGTGCCACTCTGCGGAGTGGTGGGAGTGAGGGCCCCCACACGGGCCCGCGAGGAGGCCGGGGTGCAGACACAGAGCGCAGGGCGCCCTTCCGAGACAGCTCCTCAGGCCTCTCAGAATCCTCCAGACTGGGAAGCCCTCAGACCACTGGTGACCTTCGTCACGCCAGGGGGCAGGCACTCATCTTTGGCTGCTCCACAGGGAAGCCCCGACTCGGCGGTGCGGGGGCTTCAGCGCTGCGCCTCCCACGGCCTCGGTCTCCCGGACACGCTGAGCCTGTGCCCCGCACCTCACACCCCACCCCAGCTCTCGGCACCATGGGATTGTTCTCATCCGCATCTCCCTCGTGCGTCTGCCCCCGCGAGCGTGTCCAGACGTACCTACCTCTCCTTTCCTTGTCCCTCTGCTTCCACCTGGGGAGGGCAGCGGCCCTGGCTCCCATGGCCCTGTGTCCCTGCTTTCTGGATCTCTGTGGTGACAGAGCACAGCACTTGCTGAACGGAGGAGCAAGTGACAGTCAGCAAGTGCTCCCCACGGCTGTCCATGGTAGGAGCAGTTGCAAGGAAAATTCTGGAGAGAATTCGCCAAGCTCATTCCACGCGAGACTCAGAGATTTACAAAATCAGAGCTGGTGAGAAATGGTACACGCAGCCCACTCATGTCCACCTCCGTTCCCTGCATGCGGCCCACTCGTGTCCACCTCCATTCCTTCCATGCGGCCCACTCATGTCCACCTCCGTTCCTTCCACGCGGCCCACTCACGTCCACCTCCGTTCCTCCCACGCGGCCCACTCACGTCCACCTCCGTTCCTCCCACGCGGCCCACTCACGTCCACCTCCGTTCCTTCCACGCAGCCCACTCACGTCCACCTCCGTTCCTTCCACTGCTCCACACACACACGAAGCCTCAGTGTACAAGAGAGACCCGGAGTTGAGCAGGAATGGATGAGGGCACAGCAGGGTCAAGACGGGCAGCTGCAGCCAAACACTGAGCAGGCAGATGGAGCCCCACGCAGAGAAGGGGGCCCTCACCCTGCCAGGGCGGCTGCGCGTCGGTGTGCTCAGCCCAGAGCCACGCAGAATGGACGCAGAATGGACGCAGAATGGACGCAGAATGGACGCAGGCTGCTCCCGCCCAGCGGGGACAGGATGAGCACCCCTGCCCGTCCCAGCGACGCTTTGTTTGCCTGTTTTATGGCCAGCATCTAGCGCCATGTCGCTTCCAGCCGCCTGCAGGCTCGTTACAACCAGCGCGCCATCCGCACAGCTGGACAAAGTCCACCCCTTACGTGAGACCTCGGTAAACACCAGGCAGACTGCATCCGGCGCTGAGGCTGCAGCCTGCTCAGGGTGGGGAGGCTGCTGCCAGCCACGTGGGCCCCCAGGCCTGAGGTCAGAGGGCAGAGGGGCTACACGGGGGTGGGCGGCCTCTTCTCCACCCCACCAGGCAGGCTGTGGCTACAGGGGCTGCTGTCCTGAGGGGGGATGGGCAGAACTCAGGACACTGGGCACCAGGAAAGAGAGGATGAGAACCCTTCACAGGTGCCCATGGCCTGATTCCTCCCGGGGCTCCCCCAGTTCCCGGCTCTGGAAGACAGATCAGGCAGCAGGATGAGGCTGCTGTCGGGGTCGGGCAGAGGGTCACTTCCTCAGGCCCTCTACCCGCCTGGGAGGGACTCACGTGGAACCCCCCTCCCTCCTTCCATGCCGTCCCTCCCTCCCTCTCTCTCTTCTCTCCTCCCCCTCCCCCTCCCCCTCGGTTGGTGGAGTCAGGCTGTGGGCTCTCCTCTCCCTCCCCCTCACCCTCCCCCTCCCCCTCCCCCTCGGTTGGTGGAGTCAGGCTGTGGGCACTGCTGGGTTGTCACTCAGTCATTGAGTGTCCTCACCACGCCCGCAGGTGCAAAGCACGATTCCTCTTTCCCTGACCCCCTACCAGTCCATGGTTGTGGGGAGCAACCCGGACTAGACTAAGTTACTGGAATTAAGACTTATTCTATGCATCTGCTCTCCCACAATATGGCACTGGGAGAGGAGGAAACAGCTTCTACACAGCTGCCTCCAGTTCAACCAATAAACAGCAGGACCTGCTCCTGATTGGAGGAGAGCAGCATGCTCGGCGTGTGGGTAGCAGAGTTGGGATTGGTGGAAAAGGACTATAAAGGAGGAGAGAGACGGCATGCACCAGGAACATCTAAGGGGAACATCTAAGGGGAACACCTGTGCAGCCCCCGAGAGAGCCGGCCGGCGGTGTGCCGCTCCCCCGCGGAAGTGGGGAAAAGTGGCAGGGGGAACCGCCCTTCCACGGAGGTGGAAGGGACGGTAGCCAACCCGGGAAGAACCAGCAGCAAACCCGGGGAGGGCCGAGCAGACGAAAGAACAGCGCAGGGTCCTGTGTCGTTCCTCCACGAAGAGGGGGAGCGACATAATGGTGCCGTGACTCGGATAGGAAGCCTAGGCAGGGTCTAGTGTCGTTCCTCCATGAAGAGGGGGAGCGACACATGGTGTGGATGGACCACAGTTCACAGGATCATCGCCCCTTGATGGGTCCAGTTCCGTCCTGTTCCCCACCCCAGCCTCACACAACAGCGGTACCAAAATAAACACAAAGAAAACCTGGCTGGAGGCCACATTCCCTGGATGTGGCCACAGAGTCCACTCTCAGCTGCGTTTTTCTTTGACCCCTGCTGCACCTGCTTCCCCGACGGCTGCACTGCAGCTGTCCACTGCTGCCGTCTCACCCGTGCCCGGCACTAGGGCGCCTCCCCAGTTTTGCGTCACAGAACGTGACTACAGGCAACCTAAGAAAACCCGGAACACAGAAACGGCGCTGGGCCTCGCCGTGCAGGAGACGGAGTGAGGCTTGGCTGGGGGGAGTGAGGCTTGGCTGGGGGAGTGAGGCTTGGCTGGGGGAGTGAGGCTTGGCTGGGGGAGTGCCCCCCCGTGTCCCCGTGCCACCAACCCCGCTGCTCACCTTCTGCAGTAGGTCAATCTCCTGCTGCTTGGCGCTGAGGACAGCCAGGGCTTGCTCATGCTCCAACTCCAGCTGTTGCCGCCGGTCAGCAGCCTCTCGCATGTGCTGTAGGGACAGGGGTGTCCGCTGAGCACAGGCAGCCCACGCCGGTGTCGTGCACCGCCAGCCTGGCTCCCAGGAGCAGCTGGCGGCGCGGGGGCGCTGCCGCCTCCCTGCTTCCCTGGCTTTTCCAGAGGGAGGCAGAGAGGATGGGAACCCTGAGAACAACCAGGCGCCCTCCTCCACATTTCCAACGCGGTGGCCCTGCGCAAGGTGGACTTCCTCTTCCCCTTGCTTTGAACAAATGCCCTCTCTGCCCAGCTATTTTGCAAACAGCAGCCCAGGCTTACTGACCCTCTCCTGGGTACCCAGTGCTCTCCCCACCGTTTCACCCACGGTTGGGTCACACAGCACTCACGGTGGGGGCAGGGGGAGGGCCTCTAACAAGCTCCATCTGCAGAGCAGAAACCGAGACAGCGACGTGGTCCTCACACATCACACAGCTGTGTGACAGGGCAGACGTCCACCAGGGATTTGAACCCAGAGTCCATGCCTCCCCCGACCCACGGGCCTTCGGATCTCCAGTTCTCATCCCAGCTGTGGCTCCAGGAAATCCGAGTGCTACACCCCACAACCCAAACACTCCCCAGTCTTCCCCTGGCAGGCAGGGGCAGGGGGCCCTGGCAGCTGGGCCTGTGTGCAGTAGAGTGGACAGACCACAAGACTGAGCTCTGCCTCTGTGCCCTGCAGGTGGAGACGCCCTCCCGCGTGCCACTGGGAAGGTCAGGTGGGGGGGGCACAGAGGGGCAGGTGGAGACCTCCCGGGTGCTGCCACCCCCAGGACCTGCCTCCTTCACGTGCCCTGACACCTGAGGGTCGTAGACATGAACATGTTAGGAGGGCGGCCCCTTGGCCCAGGGAGTCTGGGGGGCCTGACACCCCTCGCCTGGCCAGAACTAGCTAGTGATCGATTTGTATGTACTCAGTGTTTTATAATCCTATGGATTTTTGGTCAATTTTGCAAGGATCGTGGCCTTTGTGAGTCATGAGGCAAAATGCACACATCTAAGCCAAGTTCAAGAACGTGGGTCTCTGAGGCTATCACTGACTGGGACTTAGCAAGATGGGGCCCGAGCAGTCAGGAGGTGACAGACCCCAGGGAGAGAGGTGAGGGCCTGGGGAGGAGGACAGACCCCCGAGAAGAGAGGCAGCCTTGGGGGAAACGGCAGAGGGGACCCCAAAGCCCGTCCCACCTCTGACGCCAAAACTCCTTCTCCGGGGCACGTCCCAGAGCTGAACGACCTTAGCCGAGGGGGGAAGGTGCCGGACTCCGTGAGTGGTGGGTGATGTTTCTGTTTGCATGTAGTAAGCTAACTGGGGCCCTAGCAGTTAAGATGCTGGGTAGGGTGCCCGTATCCCACACTGGGTTCAGCCCCTAATCCCTGCTTCCTGCTAACATGTACGCTGGGTGGAGCTGAGTCCCTACCACCCACGTGGGAGGCCTGGCCAGAGCTGCAGGGTCCTGGCGTCAGCTGGCCCAGCCCCAGCTGCCGTGGCCGTCTGCGGAGTGAGCAGTGGATGGGACATCTCTGTCTCTGTCTCTCAAATAAATAAATTCAAAAAAATTAAAGTCAAAAGAGTCTCCCTCTGTGTCATGCTCAGGCCCGGGGGCCGCCTGCACCGGCTTCCTCTCCAGCACCCACAGAAACCTTTGGGCCCCTTCTCTCTCCAGTCACCCGGAAGCCAGGGCGCCCCCCTCCCCAGACAGCGCTGGTTTTGCTGTTGCTAAGGAAACTCTCACAAGCACCCAGGATCCTGGGAAAATAAAATCCCCCAAAATTTGTTAACAAATTCCCATGAAACACAGACACCTGGTCAGTTCCTGCAGCCGGCTCACGCTGGACTGAGAATGGATCCGTGACCCAGGCACAGGTCCCGCGCACAGTCAAGCCTGGAATCCATGAGGACGGCTCCAGGACCCCCCGCCAGTGCCAAACCCACAGCTACCCATGCCCCTCACGTAGAACGGCGAGTATTTGCACACAACCCATGGATCCTCCTTCTTCCGCTAAGTCATGCCTAGAACAACCAGCTCACCACCAATGCCGTGTGGACACTCATCACGCCACCCTGTCGGACAATGACCCTGCGTGTGCAGAGCGCAGGTAACATCCTAGTACTTTTAATCCAGGGATGTGGAGTGGAGTCCATGGCTATGGGCCCACCTGTGTGTCTTCCTGCAGCTGCCCGGGCTCTCAGCGTAGGGGCACTGGGATACGGTGCTGACGTGACACCTCCTGTCCAGCCGAGCCGCAGCTGCCAGTCCAGGCCCTGCAGTGTCTAATGGTCTCTCCACGCCAGCTTCCGCTTCCCTACCCACTGCCGACTTGCCGAGATCATGTACAGCAGCACAAAGCACAAGGCCCACAGCACTGAGGAAAACCAGCGGAGCCCCTGGAGAGGCCAGGAATTCTCTGTGCTGCTGAACTGTGCCCCGGCCCCCGCCCAAGATGCTGCCAACAGGATGGGAGCAGCCACGACAGCCCAGGCAAGATGACGGTGATGAACAAGACAGCGGCAGCCACCACCCATGAAGTACCTACTATGTGCCAGCCCTCTGCCAAGTTCATTATCAAGCAACTACTACTCGCTAGCCCTCTGCCAACGCTACGCAGGATCACATCTCATGCTGGGAGTGGGGTGCCACCGTCACCATCTCACAACAGTGCAGCAGACTCAGAGACGGTAAGTGACTTGCTTGCGGCCAGACAGCTGGGACGTGCAGGGCCCTGACATCGTCCCAAGAGGAACACACCCTGGAGCTGCTATGTCCCCAGCCACCATGCACCTCTGTGAGCAGACAGCTTATAAACAGCCATTTCTACCTGGACGCATGACTAGGGGCAGGCAGGCGTTCCCAGCCTCCCATACAGCCGCCCATGTGGATGAACAGTCAGGCAGCTGTCTAATTACAACACTGTTCCAGCTCATGTTTGTGCTTCTGTTTATTTGGGAAGTGGGCACTGCCAAATGCAGCCCGAGTGATCCCTATTTAGCTCTGGGAAGGAAGTTGTTAGCGACGGGAGGAACCGTCTTCCTTAGGAGGACGCATTAGAGGCATGAGCTATATTAACACAGCACGGTCCCTGCGTGGGGCTGCAGGCCTGGGGAACCGAGTGGGGAGGGCCACAGGCACGCTGCAGCTTCCCTTGCAGAGAGAAGGGGAGCGAAGGGTGTTAGGTCAGACAGGTGCAGCCCCAGTCAGCATGCAGTCACTATCAGAGAGGGGGAGCCAGCTGGGGGGTGAACAAGCATGGTGGAACGTGTGTGTCCCTTACTCTTCCTTTCAACTAATAACATAAATCTTCTTTAAAAATCTCAGGGTAGGGCCAGCGCTGTGGCACAGTGGGGTAATGCCCTGACCTGACACATCGGCATCCCATATAGGTGCCTGTTCAAGACCCGGCTGTTCCACTTCCAATCCAGCTCTCTGCCATGGCCTTGGAAAATAGTAGAAGATGGCCCAAGTCCTTGGGCCCCTACACCCCTGTGGGAAACCCAGAGGAAGCTCCCGTTGTGGCCAACTGAGGAGTGAACCAGCAGATGGAAGATCTCTCCCTCTCTCTTCCTCTCCCTCCCTTTCCCTCCCCCCAACCCGATTTGGTGAGGTGTTTGCTCCAGCTATCCCAAAGCACTAGTGAGGGGCTGCCAGCATCTCCCCCCAGAATTTCTGCCCTCTGGGACAAGATGAGAGGAAGCTGCCGGGGTCTGGAGCACTGTCTGCTGCTTTTACCGGGACCATCAGGGGTGTCACCAGACAGCAGCCCTGGGCCCACCGGGGTATCACCAGACAGCAGCCCTGGGCCCACCGGGGGTGTCACAGGACAAAAGTGTCAGGCCCACTAGGGTTTCGTTGGATGGCCCAGGGAAGCCTGGAGGGCTCTGTGGGGTTTGAATACTGGGACATAGAAAACGTGCTACAACCCTGAATGGCAGCGGACGACAAGGGCAGGCAGCTCTGGATTCAACAGGTGCTCAGAGACGGGAATGGGAGGGGCCAGGGGAGGGAGCGAAGGATGCTGACCAGCACCACCCTGTGAGTCCCACACCAGCCGGGTGGCAGCTGCCCGTCACACAACGTGCCTCTGAAGAACCACGCCGTTAACGACGGCTGAATACTCTTTCCTCGTCCTCCAAGTCTCAGTACACGCTATGCCAAGTCTAATTCAGCGGAGATGTCCACACACGAGTCTGTTTCCAGAATTTTCACATCACGCCGTGTCGCTCAGGACCAGAGCGAGGTCTACAAAGTCTGTGTTTGGTTCCCGGCCCTGCCCGGCTGGAGCTGGATACAGGACACGGATTCTCCTCTAGCCCAGCCCTTGCCTGCGTGGGGATGCGGCCAGACTGCGCTCTGACCAGCAAACACAGTGCAATGACACTCATGGACACGCCCTTAGAAGCCACATTCTGTTGTGGAACGCAGGTGTTCTGATACGGGACGTGGGTGTTCTGATATGGGACGCAGGTGTTCTGATGCGGGACACGGGTGTTCTGATATGGGACATGGGTGTTCTGATACAGGACACGGGTGTTCTGATAGGCAACACAGGTGTTCTGATACGGGACGCAGGTGTTCTGATACGGGATGCGGGTGTTCTGATAGGGGACATGGATGTTCTGATACAGGAAGTGGGTGTTCTGATATGGGGCATGGGTGTTCTGATACACAACACGGGTGTTCTGATACGCGACACGGGTGTTCTAATAGGGGATGCGGGTGTTCTGATACGGGATGTGAGTGTTCTGATATGGGACGTGGGTGTTCTGATACAGGACACGGGTGTTCTGATAGGCAACACGGGTGTTCTGATAGGCGATGCGGGTGTTCTGATGCAGGATACGGGTGTTCTGATACGGGATGTGGGTGTTCTGATACGGGATGTGGGTGTTCTGATACGGGACGCAGGTGTTCTGATAGGTGACGCGGGTGTTCTGATGCAGGATACGGGTGTTCTGATACGGGACGTGGGTGTTCTGATACGGGATGCAGGTATTCTGATAGGTGACACGGGTGTTCTGATAGGCGACACGGGTGTTCTGATAGGTGACACGGGTGTTCTGATGCAGGATACGGGTGTTCTGATAGGCGACGCGGGTGTTCTGATACGGGATGCGGGTGTCCCAAGCAGCACATCAACCACTGTGAAGAAGGCTCGCCCCACGGAGTGTCTTAAGTGTGCAAGCTGACCGCATCATCCGGTGTTAGAGTGGTTGTAGTGGGCTCTCAGCACACTCTTTTTCCGAAGTCCTCAGTTAGGCCTTCCAGATTTTAACCGACCTCATCTTCCCACTCTCTTCCTGCATTCATGGTGACTCTGGCCGCCTCACCATTTCCCCAACAGGTCCGGGACCCACAGTGACCAAGGGCCTTTGCGTGACTCCCTCCCTCGGGACACCCAGGTCTGGGTTCCAGCATCACAGTGCCTACCCTGCACGTGACGCTGTGTTTCATCTCATCAGCCCATACCCTGTACTTCTCAGTACTTGGCGGACGCAGGGCGTTGTTGGCTGGCAGAATCCCAGCCTGGGTTCCGGGCACTCTTCTTGTGCACACGTCTTGAAGAAACAAATCCACCTTCAGGCTTGGTCTCAAGTGGCTATTTCACCCGGACAATTTTAACAGGGTTGGGGTCTGCAGGAACCCAGTGTCTGAGGGGAATGAGATCTCCTCTTTAAAAAAAAAATATCTGTTTGAAAGTTACAGCAACAGAGAGAGGGAGCGACAGAGAGAAGAGAGATTTTTCCATCCACTGGTTCACTCCCCAAATACCCGCAACAGCCAGGGCTGGGCCAGGCCAAAGCCAGGAGCTCCATCCAGGTCTCCCTTGTGGGTGGCAGGGGCCCACGTACTTGGGCCATCGTCTGCTCCCTCCCAGGGTACACTGGCAGTCTGGCCCCCACAAGGCCCTAAGACACAAGGCTGCTGTCACTCATAGCCCTCCTGCATTCGTGGTCAGAACCCTTAGTGGCCAATGGGAAGATGGCGGGGAGGGCCAGGCACAAGGCCAAGGGCTCCAGCATCAGTAACCTGCGAGCTACCCACCCGGGTACACAGGCCCCCAGGGACCAGGGGTCTGCCATGGCCAGCACGCTGGGAGGTGCCGCGCAGCCAGCCCAGGCGCTCGGGGGCACAGTGAACGGCCGGGTTTTGAGGACCAGCCCAGCCTGCAAGACGGTTTGTCGAGCAGCATGACTGTGACAGCAGCAGCAGCCACAGCCCCCACCACACAGAGCAAGTGTGCACCTCGTCCTGAATCCTCCCCAGTCTGCGAGACCCTGCGCAACGGGGCCCCACTCTGGCAGAATGCTGGTTCCCAGAGGCTGGGCAGGGCGTGGGCACTGAGCCGCAGTCAAGAGAGGAGTCCTCCTGCTGTGCAGCTCGGCAGGGGCCTCAGGTTGCCAGGATACAGAGCTCCAAGCACAAGGGAGAACGTGCCGCCAGCAGGAGCGCTAAGGGTGTGAGAAGACAGACACATTTGCCATGGGCAGCCTGCACAATGCTCGCATGCGTGCACATCACCGGGGCCCACGTATGTAGTTTTGAGGTGTCAGTTACAAAATTAAAAACATTTTTAATAGCAAAGCATTGGGGGTGGACCTTCGACACAGCAGTTACTAGGAAGTCCACAGCCCCTAACGGAGCCCCTGGTTAGATGCCCATCACCTCTGCTTCTGAGTCAGCTTCCTGCCACTGCACACCACAGAAGGCAGCGGGTGGCGGCTCCAGCACGTGGGCCCCTGCTGCCCACGTGGGAGACCTGAATCGAGTTCTCATCTCCCGGCTGTGGCCTGGCCTGGTCCTTGCTGTTGTAGCTAGGCAGGGGATGGATCTCTGTCTCTGCCTTTCAAACAGATAATGGGGAGTATCGAATGTTGGAGTATTTTGCAGCCGGTAGCATCTGCCCAGGAAGGGCCAGGAGTTTACATTTCCAGTTCCCACAGCCAGGGGCTCCTCCGGGCTCCTCCTGGGTGTGGGCCATGCTGGCTGTGCCTTTAGCTCTCTGTCCGCAAAGAACGACTGGGATGCCCCTCACTTGCTGGAGAACGTTCCTGAAGCAGGCTTTCCGGTGCTGTCCTCAGCCCCGCACACAAAGCCTGGGGCTCCCAGTGTGCGAGGAACCAGCAGGTGCAGCCATGTCCCCGTCTCCAGTGGACGGAAACACTCAGGCCGGCCAGGCTGCTGACCCACTGGACACACCACACTCAGAGCAGTAAGAGACTCCGTGTGCAATGCAGCGAAGGCCAGCGGTCCAGATCCGCCCCGGCCAGCCGAGGGTTAGGGCCGAGAGCTGGCCACGGACCCGGGAGTGAGTCCCAGGATGTGAGGTGGATTCTCTGCTGCCTGAGGTCTTCGCCGGGGCCTCTATCCGCCCTCAGTAATCAGGCAGAAGGAGCCAGGCTGGGTTCCAGCTCCTTCCAGCCAGTGACAGCAGACCCCGACGCCTGTGACACACGGGCGGGGGAACCCAGGTGGCTCTGACTCAGACAGGGCTGGGCGGAGGTGGCAGAGGGGACTCTCGGATGTGAGCAGGGTCAGGGTCTCCTTGGGGGAGAGGAGCCTCAGTCCCCCGGGTGGGCCCAGGGTCTCGGGGGAGGGAGGCAGAGAGAGGAGAGGAGAGGGAGGCCTGCCCTGCTCGCTGGAGGCGGAGCCTGGGCCACACGCAGCCATCGGTGCTGGTAAAGGCTGGAAGCGTCCAGAGAGGAGTGGGGCTCTGCCCACGCCCGGGTTTCACCACACCCTGGACTTCCGGCAGCTGTGAGAGGATCTGTGTGACGCTTAAGCCAGGGAGCCACAGGGTACTTCGTCACCCGGGAATAAGAAGGGGACGCACAGACTCCCGCCCTCAACACCGTGGACCTGGGGCCAGTCCACTCTTGGCTGACCCTGTGGGAGGACTAACAGCAGCCCTGGCTCCTGGCACTGTGCTCCAGGCCTGGGCCCCTTCCCAGCTCCTACCCATCAGAGACGCCCCCAGACCCGCTGTGTTCTCTTTAACATGGTAGACTCTCGGCGGAGCTCCTGCGGACCAGTTACCCACCGCCCTGGAACGCGTCACCACGCCCCGGCAAGTCCCGGCCCTGAAGGCAGAGGGCAGAGCAAAGCAGGCCTGGGGCTCCCAGGGAGCTCACGGTCCGCAGTCGGGGTGGGGGCCGCGGCTGAAGCAACCGCGCTGTAGCGTCTCGGCCCGCCAGGGGGCTTCCCGGGTGAGGCCGCACGGCCACAGTCAGGGCCGGGCGGGAGCCAGGGAGTCTTTCTTGTTGGAGCCGCAGGTCACGGGACGTCGGGGGTCCTGTATTCACAGACCTGCGCTAGGAGCGCTTCCATCCGCATCCGGGCATCCTCCTGGCGCCAACGCGCACCCCCAGACCCCGCCGGCCTCCCCAGCAGCTGCGGGTGGCGAGGGGAGGTGCCGTGTGGCCCCTCTGTGCTCCCTGCTGGGTCTGGAGAGGGAAACTCAGAATCCCATAAACCGTCAGCATTCAAAAGGCCGGCACGCAGGGAAGCCGAGGAACTCGCTGGGCTGAGAGCAGAGACGCCCCCAAGGTCCTCGGGGACACACATGGGCCCCCTGGGAGCCACCTCCTCACGGTGGAGCCCACGGAACGCCAGGGAGCAGCCGGAGTTCCCTGAGCCTGGGACAGCGTCGGCGACACCCGCTGTCCCAGCCCCGCGCGCCCCGTTTGTGGCGTGGATTCCCGACGCCAGGGGACCCCGGCCCCGCCACGGGCGTCCACTCGCGACGGCCGTCCTACCTTCAGGACCTGTTCCAGGTTCTCCAGCTTGCCTTGGAGTCACGGCCAGTCGCGCTCCGCGGTCACCAGGGCGAGCGTGTGCTCCGGCCACGCATGCTCCGCCTCACCTGTGGGCAGCAGAGGGAAGCGAGGCCGTTACTGCGTGTCCCCGGCCAGCACCTGCCGCTGCCCTCTGGAGCCATACCCCCGGCTCCCCTTCGGAGAACCTTCCTGCCCCTATTCTCCTTTGTGGACTTCACAGCGGGTCAGTCCTGCTGAGGGTGACCCCGTGGTACCAAGGGCTGCCAATCAACATGCAACCTCCCTCTCCATCCCGCCCACCTCCGCTAGCTCCACCGTGATGGGCTGGAGTCTGGGCGTGTGACTCAGGCCTGGCCAATCGGGACAATCCCATCCCCGGGATACAGTGACCGGTTGGGGAGGTCACACGACCCAATCCCACCTGTGGAGAACGAAGCCTGGGACTTCACTCTGGGAGCCCGTGGAGCAACCGCTCTCTTTTTACGCCTGCTGGACTTGGCCAGTTGAGGACACAAGGCTGGAGGTACTGAGCCATTTGCTGCCACACGGCAAGAACCATGTGAGCACAGAGCCGGTGGGGTGGATGGAGAGCCGGAGACGCGATAGTTCCGGGTGACCCCTGGATCGAGCTGTGCCTGAAGCCCGCTGTGGCGTGACGTGGGCCGCGCATGCTCTCTGCGTGCTCACACCCGTCTCATTGCTCTCTGTCCCTGGTAACCACGCAGGTCCCAACACATGTACTTGCCAAGCGCTCCAGACACACTCCTCTGTCTCAAAGTTCCACCCCGACGTTAAAGGTGGCTGAAGGTGGCAACGGGTCTCCACGTGCATTGCAGTGAGCTCAGATGCCACTGGAGCCCCCTGGACCCTCGGCCTCTGCCTCCCGTCCACTGCCCGGGCCCCTGGGCCTCCACTGGAACCCCCAGGGCCCTCTGCAGATGGCAGAACCCGCTGCGATTTATTCCCGGTCATTTCCATCCAAGGACAGACTTTCACTCTCCCGCCCTCACAGATGTTGCGATGTAAATTACTGCTTCAGTGACATCCCAGAGAGCCACCTCCTCAGCCTCCGAAGTCCTCTCTGCTCACAGAGTTTAACCTGACAACTTCTGCAGCACCCAAAGGCGGGCAGGCAGTCCTCGGTGTTCCTGGGCAGGAGCCGTCAGGGGAAGCGGTGTCGCGGAGAGGTCTGGCTCGCAAGGCCGTGGGGCACCGTGCAGCGGCCGCGTGAGGTGCCAGGCAGGGAGCTGGGAGCAGGTGCAGATGTGCTCAGTGGACACGTCACACCCGCCTGCGTTAAACAGCCTCACTTTTGGACCTCAACCCCCAGGCTGCAGGTTTGCTGACAGCTGTCACTTCTTATGGTCTCACCGCTCAAGAACAACAGATTTGCGAGGGACGGCCCAATGCCTCTGAGTCTCGTCTCACACAGGGGCCACCGTGACCTTGCCTCTCCCTGTGTGAAACCTCCTGTGGTACCATGGTCATAAAAACCTAACTCCTTGATGGTCTACCAGGCTCTGTCAGGTCTGGCCTCACCCGCCTTCAGCCAAGCCCCCACTCACCCTGTAGAATCAGCCTGGCCTTCTCTCTGCCCCTAAACAAGCCGAGCTCATTCCACCACAGGCCCTTTGCACTTGCTGCTTCCACTGCCTGGCACCTCCTACCCCTCCCGTTCCACCACTAAGGTTGCAAGTTTGGCTTCTCATCAGCTGAGCCTCCCCAGCCCACACACGGGAAGAGACTCCTCACCCGTCCTCCCATCTACCATATCACCATCAGCATTTGTCCCACGTAGCGGAGCACACCGTCCTCGGAGCGGGTCCCCATTAGAACATCAGTGCCGACCGGATGGGGTTCCCGTCTGCTCCCCGAGTCGCTCCTGCCAGGGCCCGGCCATCTGCCTGGCACAGCCAGGGATGAGAACTATTCTCAGACCTGACAGAAAGGCGGCTGTGCTCGTGGGGTTAACTGATCGGCCCTTCCAGGGCCGGTCCTGCCTCCTCGTGACCGCATCTCTTGTGCCATCGGCTTCTACCTGGATTTGACGATCCCAGCAGGAAGCTGGGGCGTGGAGAAGAGAGGTCAGCACGGCCACCCTGGCCTGGCCCCTCGCCGGCAGCCTGCAGGGTTTGTCTGTGCACAGAAGGCCCCAAGCTGGCCCCAGGCTACTGCCTGCTGACAAGGCTGGCTGTCGGCTACACGGGCAGACGTGGGTTTGGGGAGGGTGCCCACCACTCCCTACCTGGTAACAGGGGCTCCCTGTGCCTAGACCAAACCCCACAGGGCACGCGAGCAGGAGGCTCTGGGAGCCAGGGCCCCGCCTGAGCACAGACCTCGTCAGATCGGCTTGGCTGCTGTGGGCAGGAGGCCGTCCCCAGCTGGAGTCCCCGCCCCGTCACAGCATCATTGAAGCCACGACACGGCAGCGAGCGGCCGGGCCCTCGTTCCTTCCAGCAGGGCCTCTGCCCTGGGCTCTGGACTGAGCCCCCTGGACTGAGGGAGCACGTGAGGTGCAGGGGTGTGGGCCCGAGCTCCGGTTTCCACTCTGAGCAGCAGGAAGTGATCCTGGGCAATGAAGCCAGAGAGCGCCCTGCTCTCACGCAGTGGCCGCTGATCCTGCCTGGACACGGCACTGATCCCACTAAACACGGCCACGTCAAGTGGACACCAGCAAACACGGCAAGTCTGCCCCTGCCTGGTCACCTGGGAAGCTGAGCGTCAGTCACTCCAGGTGTGCCCGGCGGGCACTCACCTTGCCATCAAAGCCCCGCCTCACGAATGCCAGACAGCTCCCAGATGCGCCCGCCTTACTTCCACAACGTCATCACGGAAAAGGTTTGAGGAAGGTGGAGAAGCTAACGAGTCGCACAACGATCATTCACATCTGTGCCCACAGCGCCCCAGACTCCGGCCAACCCGGGCTCACCGGCGGCAGGTAAGAGGAGCTGATAGGTCATAGTTCACAGGTCATGAACTTAATGACACGCCTGGCTCCAGAACTCAGGCGCTGCCCTGAGACCCGCTCACACCTGGCCCCCGACTCATTTCTATTTCTAAATACAGATCTTAGTGGCAGCGACGGCAGCACTGGGTGGAGGGGAAGCGGCCACTGGTGGGGTGGGAGAGCCCTGGACCCTCCAGGCGGCTGCAGGATCTGCCGCTCAGCTCGGGGGCCTCCCTGGACCCCTCCTGGCCCAGGCAAGCGAGGAAACTGAACGATTCTTCTGTAATCAGTGAGAAGCTGGGTTTGGAACCTGAACAGGCATTGGGCACATCGTTGCCCCCGTCCTGGCTCCCGCCTGTTTGTTGGTTTCTTCCCCAGGCGCCTGCCAGGGAGAATTCAGTCCAGCGTTCCAGAGGCCACATTATACACCCAGCTAAGAAGCCACCATTCCCGCACAGGCTTCTGGGAGACAGCAAACGGTGCAGCCACACACCCCTAATCTGGAGCTCAAAGGTGAACGCCACGCCACCCTCCTCGTCAGGGCCACACAAAGCAGGCGGCAAGTCCCAGCAAGACGGTGGTGGGGACATAGTGACACCCTGACATCTTCCAGGAACCACAGCCAGAGCCAGGGCTCCTTGTGCTCTGCTCGTTGGGACAGACAAGACCCCCACCCTCGGGTCTGACATCCTCCAGTGCCTTCCTCGAAGAGAGTGCCCCCTCCCCTCACAGCTCTCCAGCTCCCTGGACATGAAGAGACCGGCCTCGGGGCAGCGCTGGGGAGCTGCTCTCTCCCAGAGGTTCTCTCGTGCACCCAGCAGGCCCAGGCCCAGCGCAGAACCCGGCGTGGGCAGCCCCATCAGGCCGTGCCCCTGCCCATCCCCCACCACTTCCAAAGCTCCACTATTCCTGGCTGTGCCTGATGAGTCAGCGGCACCGCAGACGCCCCTGCAAGGCAGAGGGAGGGCGCCCTCATCCTTGGGCCTTGCAACCCTGCTTAAGGGCCCAAGCTGTGAAGGCAGCAGGGGAGGAATCTCAAACCCTCAGCGAGAAGACGAAGCTGGGATCGGAAGCACGAACGCCGGGCCAGGAAAGCAGCCGTCCCTGCAGCCAGCGCTGGCCTCACGCCTCCAGGCTCAGACCAGCCCCGTCTCCCCAGATAGGGCTGTCCTGTGCTGGTGTGGGAGCCCAGTGGAGAGGCTGGGGGGGAGGAGGCCTGGGCTCCACCCTCCCCACGCAGCCCCTCCCTGGCCTCCGCCTGCTTCTCCTGAAGAAACATCACCACTGGCCTCGTTTCCATAAACACAGCCCCGGGCTGGGAAGGCCCCTGAGGCTGCCTCGGGCAGCACTCGTGGCTCAGTGGCTGCATCCTGCTTTCCTTCTACCGCTTTCCCAGGCCACAGCAGAGCTGCACTGGAAGAGGAGCAGCCGGGCCTCGAAACGGAGCCCACATGGGATGCGGCACTGCAGGCGGAGGGTGACCCTGCTGCGCCACAGCGCCGGCCCCGCGTCCCTGTTCCCTAAGCCTGGGAAGCAGGGCTCAAGGGAGGAGGGGGGAAGGACTCTGGATGAAGACCAGGGCACGGGCTTAAAACACGACTTTTTGGACAACTGCACTAAAACACAGGAAATCTGCCAGCTTGGTCCTGTTGAGGTGCACAGCTCGGGGCATCAAACGCACACAGTCTGACATCCGTCTCCACCACCCACGTCCACACCTCTGTCATCCCCCAAACGGAAGCTCTGTGCCACCAAGCACTGCGTCTGTCTCGGGGGTGACTGCTCCGGGCCTCACTTTGTCTCTTTGCAACTGGCTTTTCCCGCAGAGCATGACGGCCCAGGTTCCACCCCACTGGCCCGAGTCGGAACCGCCTCTCCGTCAAGGCTGGGTGATGCGCCCAGTGGATGGGCTGCACCTGCCTACGTGGGCACCTTTGGTGGACACTTAGGCCGTGGTCCTCTGCAGCATGGGTGTGCATCTCTCTCCACACCCCCGCTTGCAGCTGTCTTGGGTGCACAGTCGGCCCCCCACCCATGCTTCTACACCTAAGGAGTCCACAGCAAAAGACCAAACATGCTTTTCACAGAAATCGCATCTGTATTGAGCGAGTACAGACTCTCTCTTGCTCTTATTCTCTA